TGGTGCTCTGCGAAGCTTTCAGACCCACTGTAGTAGAGTCAGAAAAGCCTTGCTGAAAGCAAAAGCTGCAGGGCTTTTTTCTGAACTGCAGCCTGCTTTTGATTCAGAAATAAACTCCATCTTTGCTTAAGAACTATTTTTAAGGTCACAAACACAGGATGCAGAAATCAGTACGTTTCATGTTTTTCCTGAGTGCTGCCTCACCACTCCTCTTCCTCCTTCTGTTTCCAGCAGACTTCCTTCCCGAAGGGACATCCTGCGCGCCTGCCTCTGGGGCGCAGCGCCCAAGGCTGGGGGGCTGTAATGGAAATACTGGGAAATTGCTTTTTCTGCTCCTTTTAGGCCTGTGATAAAAAACTGAACTCACACCATGAAAATAGCTGAACTCTTGAGCTCTGATGTGGCTGGAAATCTTTTATCTCTGTCCCGCTTTGGTTTTGTGATCACACTCGGGGGTTAATCTGACTAACCCTCCTTTTGGATGTGGCTCCTTGGTTTGAATTAATTTGCATCACTTGTGAAATTTTGCAAAAATACCAAGTACACCCTCCTTGCAAGTGCGTGGGCAGCAACGCTGCTCGGCCGGTGCCGGTTGTGGGTTGTCTCCAGCTTGCACCCAAGGTGGCTCTTTGTTAGGGTCAAAGTGGCAGAGTCAAATGTTTTGGGTGCAGAAGGATCCGAATCTAGACCCACCCTGTATTTCCATGAGTTACTGAGTATCCAGGATGTCTAGCAAAAAAATAGTGGCAATACAGTAAATGCCCACAGGGTTGTTTTAAGATGCAGATGATAGAAAGAGATTGGTTTTGGAAGAAAACTTAACGTTTATGCTTTCTCCACTTCAGGGTAGGGCAGTTTGATTTAAGATGGAGCAAGATTTAACCCATTTTCCGCATGGAGAAAGCCTTTTAGCACAACCTTGAAGTGCAGTTTCCCAAGCTGCCGTGATTGCCTGGTGCCTGCAGAAGGATGTGACTTAGCCGTATCCTGTTTACCATAACGTGGCAGAGTTAAGATGTCCCCTTGGTGCTGTGGTTTACAGACAGCAGCACAGTGTGTCACCCCACCCTGAGACCCGAGAGAGGGAAACACCATATGTTTCCTCCTGCCCATCCGTCGGAAGAGCTGATGTCGTTTAAAGAAAGGTGTTTCAGAGGAAGGATGTATGTGGCCAAAATAAAGCTTGGTCTGTGTTAGAATAGTTCCATCCTGTTTACTGTGGAAAACACTTTGCAGTGATATTAGGTCTGAAATGCGTGATTTATACACAGGCAGGCGCAGCAGATAAGGAGCTTCCCGTGATTTTGGCCACCTGTGAGAAGAAAGGGCTGCGTCCCTCGGGCTGGGAAGTGGTGAAGCTGCCGGCAGACAAACGCCAGTACCAGCTCCCTGGGCAGCTGCTGCGGAGACGAGGTGCTGAGCATCCCTTGGGCTCCCAGGCAGCCTGAGGTGCCTCTGTGCCTCAGTTTCCCAGCTGGAAGGAGCCTTGTGAGCTTTAGGTGGTTAATATTGGTAAAGAGTAATGAAGAAGGGCTAGAGATAATCATCCCCAAGACAAATAAACCCAAGTGCATTTCTAAAGGTCTGGCTGTGAATGGAAGGGACCATTAAATCAGAAACACGAATGGCTTGCTGTATCCTCTGTATGGTATAAAAAAGTTGTGTTGCCCAGTTACAGGGGGAAACATACACACGTAAGAATTTGGGCTGCGATTTTATTTTTTAATAGAACAAAATACCATAAAACTACAAAATGCATTTAGCAAAGTCACTTGCATCCACAACACTTGATCCTTTCGTCTCAGTCTCATGAGACCCGAGCTGCAGCTCCGAACATGTTGCCTCCTGGTTGGCACTCTATTTAGCAGGGGAAGTTTTTCAAATCAGTCTTTGTTGCTTCACATCTGACGCGACTGGCAGCAGCAGCGGATGCAGGGTCTGGTGTCTGCTGGCGCGCAGGGGACCGAGGTCAGGATGGTTTTGTGGAGAGGACCCAGTCTGCCGTTTGCAGCAGCATGCTTGCACTGGTCCAGCAGCAGGGAAATGAGCCCTGGACACGTCTGCGGCAGCGTGCTCCCTCCAGGCAGGGGGGGATGAGCCGTTTTGCAGAACAGGTGAATTGTCTGCTCTGTGTGCCATTGCACAGAGGATACTGCGGGTTTGTGATGGCACCAGGTACTGGGGAAGCCAGTGCTGTTTGCCGACCAGCTGCTACAAAAGACGGAGAGCTGGCTGGCACCTACAGTTGACACCCAACCCGGTGGGGTTTGCTGCTGTCTTCTCCCATGCGAAGAGGAGGAGGGGGCAGTGCCACGGCCTGCCGACTGCCCCCCCATGGACAGGCCCCGGCCCCAGCCCCTGCAGAGAGGTCACCAGCCCTGCCGTGGTCTGGCAGGGGGGACACCATCCCTCGCTCCCGGAGACACAGCCCAGTTGCTTCGCATATGTTTTGAGTTTTAGCAAGTTTCTTCCCCATTTTTTTCCAGGGATGTGTTGCTGTAATGTGGCACCAACCCAAGACGTGTGGTCACGGCTGGGAGAGGAGACAGGCACAAGGCGGGAGGTGCACCCCAAACTGGGGTCCGGGCACAAGGCTGGAGTGGAGGGGTGGTCCTGCTTGGTTCTCACACACTCGCTGCAAAGCGTGAAGATTTGCCTAATCTCTTAAACGGCCTGAAGAGAGGGGAGAGCTGAAGATTTAGTCTGGTTCCATTAATGAAAGAATAACGATAGTAAGGGAATTAAAATACAGGCCCTGGTGCACTCAGCCCAGGGAGGAAGGAATATGCTAAACAGTCTGGTTGTTGACTTCTCCTGCCTGGTGGAAGCATGTGGTCCAGTTTCTTAACAGATACAGCCTCAAATCCCTGCATTTGTTCTGCTTAAATTAGCGCTCCTGACGATTATTTTGGAAGGGGTATCCACATTATGGTGGAGTTCAGTAAAGTGTAAAATGTGCTTAGTTTTAGGGGTGTGGGTTGCAGTCCGCCAGCGGTCTCTTGTCTAGAGTTTTGTATAAGCACTTGCCACAATCAGGGCCTTAATTTGGTGTGCTTTCAGGCAGCCTGCAAATACCCGCAGTTGTCAGCACGTCAGCCCTGCAGCTGCATGCCGGCACCCAGGAAGGGTGACAGCGCAATTGCAGCTTCTCTTAAGATGAGCCTGAAATGACACTGTAGATGATGTGGTAATGGCCCTTGAAACATGCCCATCATTTGAACGGCTTCGGCTGCACCCATAGCACTTCATAAAAGCTGCTGTAGGAGTGACAGCAGGTGAATTGTTGGCAGCGAGGCTGTTGTGATATTCAGACGTTGTTGAATCCATCCACGTTGTCTGAGCAGAAATTATAAGGAGAGTCTCAGAGGATTCAGGGTGAGAGTGGTCATAAATCTTGGGTGCATCTTGGCAGGGTAGGAGGAACATGAAGCATCAGTCCCATTTTCAAATGCTGCTGTCATGCAGCAACTGTGCTAATTAATTTAGCACAGGATAGTAAAGCTGTTGTCTTGCTTTGGGCCCAATGAGCCAAATGCCTGCTCACAGACAAGGCTCACAGGTGAGGAGTCCTTAACAATTGTCCTCTGCCTTTGCCCCTTGGCACCTGGTAGAGAATTGACATGGGAGCCTTGATTCCAGCCTCGTGCCCCAGTGGCCAGCCCTCATGCGGGGCAGCTCGTCCACCGGGGCCAGCCCCAGCAGTGCTGCTCACCGCCGTGGAGCCAGGTGCCTGCTCGAGCTGCAGCGCCTGCAGTCTTGCTGTCCTGAATTTAACTTTTCTGTAACAAAGGCAGTTCCTGCTCCCCCAGAGCTTTGAGGAACAGCTTGAATGCAGAAGCCAGAGGCAAATAATGAACATCCTGTGGTATTGGGCACAGGGCACAGCTGTACTTGTTCCCCGGGGCACAGTGAGCGGCTGTGGGTTGAGGCTGGATGGGGTCAGTGGCTCCATCATTTCTGGGCAGACTTTTGCAGCCGCTGCTCTTCCCTCCGTGTCCCACAGTGTGGTGCCTCCTCCCACTCAGCAGCTCCTCCATCCCGTCCCGTCCCAGTGGAAGACTAGTGGAAATTTTGCTGTTGACTGCAGTAGCAGCAAGATCAGAGCCAGGATTTATAGTCCTGAGAGTCTTCAGCAAGCTTTTTTTCCCCCGCTCCCTTGGCCCTGTTCTCACTCACTTCCTCATTTACTTGCAGGGAAATAATATTTTGAGTTCTTTTATTGGAGAAACTTTTTGCTTCAACTTTTGTTTGAGAGAGAAGGAGCCAGAGGTGGCTGCTGGGCTTGCAGCCACCCCTGCTGAGCGCGGCTCCGTGCACTCCCGAGTGCTGATCCCGAGCACTGACAAGCGGGAAGGGGGACCCATCGCAGCGCTGGGGCCACGCACGGGGCGAGCCCTCTGTGGGCAGAGCAGCTGCCTCTGTGAGGGCAGGCGGCCGCTGGGGATGGCTTATCTCCGGCGGGCTGAGAAACCTCACAGCAGCACCCACTGGCGAGGGGCTTCCAGCACTGTGCCGGAGAAGAGACCTCTGACTGCTTCGGTGGGAGAGGGGGGCAAGGAGCCCCCTTGTCCGCTTTTACTGTTGCACCCGACTTTTGTGCTGAGATGAGGGTGCTGCTACAGTAAATGGGCCTTTGGCTGGAGGATGCCCTCCTGGGGTGCCCTGCACCTGGATGGCTCCAGCAGCAGTCCTGGTGCTGCCCTGATCCTGCTCGTAGCATGGGCAAGGGCAGAGCGCCTCTGGCAGCTCACCTCCAGCGAAGCCTGGTTTGGATTTGGTTCTGAGGGTAGATCTGGCAAGCAGAAAGGCAGCTCTATTACAGCTCTTTACTCCCGTATTAACCAGTTACATTTTCCTATTCCATGACTTGGTAGTGAGGAGCTTCCCCTGGGTGCAGCAGGGCCGTCAGCAGTTTGTCCACACTGAGCCTGAGGCGGTGATGGCGGGGAGGGACCCGCTGGTGTTTGCTGCAGCCCATTGACGTGCGTGTCTCTCCGCAGCTGCAGCCGGAGCAGCTGGACTGTGGAGCAGCGCACCTTCAGCACCCGCTGGCCATCGTGAACCCCGTCACAGCGACCCCCGTGTTCACCTACAGCGGCCTGACCGCGGTGGCGGTGGCCAGCGTCAATAACTACACCGTTGTGTTCCTGGGCACTGCCAGCGGAGGACTCCTGAAGGCAAGTGGAGCTCGGCAGCACCAGCACGGGGGAGGCAGGGCTGGGGGGACAGAGAAGGTGGCAGGGCTTCCTCTTCCAGCACCTCTGGTTTGCACAGAGGACAATGTCTGTTGTCGAGTTTGTCTGAGCACCTGCTTTTGCTTGGCAATGAAGAAGTAATTGGATGCTGTTGTAATCTGTACAGTAATATATGCTGCCTGGTGACTGGTGGCCATTAATTACTGTTCAACGCTGCCATGTGAGCAGGATGTTCTTGATGAACCCTATGCTGGAAATATTATTGTGCAGCATTTAATTATTAACAGCTCTTCTAATAAATTCTCCCTCCGAGCTGATGGCTTTTGAAGGCTCCATGTAGACAGGGGAATCACTGAGAGATGCTTCATCACAGCTGAGTCCAAAGCAGGTGTGAACCCACGCATCTGATGGAGTATCTGTTTCAAATAATGTGCCAAAGGCAATGTAGGGCAATGCAATACCCTGGCTCCAGAGCCAAGATGCAAGGCCAAGGTTTCAGTAACTTTAGCGCTTGACATTTGCCAAAGAAAGTTTTGATTCCAGCCAGCCACAACAGTTTGGTGTACTCTCAGCATCGAAAGTCCACAGAGGAGAGGGGAAAAAAGCCCTGGAGCAGAGACACGGCTGATACCTGCTTTGTCTCAGCCTGGGGTGAGTGGTGCATAATGTGGAATTTTGCATCAAACTACTTGGAGAGAAGAAAACTGATCCAATCTCTTCCCTTGCGTCCAAGTGCTCCTGGCAGAAATGTGGGAACAATCACAAAGAAACTCACTGCTTTGATTTTTGCCCACAGGGTCAGGTAATTCACGAGGGTGGGAGGAAGCTGGCACCCCAGCCAGGTACAGCGGGCTGGAGAGGCACATGCCACACGCAGCGCAGACCCTGTTCACACAGTATTAACAGCTCTGCTTCCATTATCTCGGAGAAAGCAGCCTTATCTGCTGAGCCTCCATTAGGGAGAGGCTCCTGGCTACCCTTTGCTGGGATAATTTGCTCAGATAGCTCTAATCTAATTCCACAACACAGCTGCATAACCAGAAGCCCTTTTACCTTCGGGGCTCCTTGTTATTTGGCACGGGATACAAGATACTTTGCGTGAGTTATCATTCAGATTTGCTGCCTGAGAAAAGACAGCAAAGAGGCAGAAATAGTGCTCGACCAGCTCCTGCCAGCAGCAATTATGGCTGCCAGGGGTATGTACGAGGAATTAATCAGATAGTCTGCAGACGGGCATTTCGTGAGAGCCATTATCAGTGCCATGTCCAGCAGTTATTAAAGGAAAAACAGCCCTTGGGAAGCGGTGGCCAGGGCAAGGTGTGCCAGGGTGCAATGCCCTCGAAGGAGATGGGAGCTGGGAAGGGTCTGTTCTGGCCAGTCCCCAGGTCTGGAAAGCTGTAGATGAGGAGCTGTGGTGGGGTTACCCAGAACTTCAGACCACTCTACTCTTGCCAGTGCCAGTGCAGCACGTGTCCCCCAGCACACCCCAGCCCTGCTCCGGTGAGAGAACTGATGGTCTCTGCCCCTCTGCACCGCTGCGGTGGCTCTCCCCCAGGGGCCCGCAGTTCACGGGGATCCAGGGAAAGTGCCTGTGCAGTGGAAGCGTAGGGTAAATGAGCCCAGGAGGCAGAGGGACTTAGGGACAGGCGCCTAGAAACAGCCAAGCGTAGAGCAGATCTTAGCAAGAAGGGAGAGAGGATGGTCGCAAAGCTAAAGTGGAAGGCATCGGGACTCAGTTCATGGACGTCTTGGGTGATCCCAGGCAAATCATTTAGCTTCTGGATAGCCAGCTTTTAAAATGGGGAGATGATAGTTCCCTTCTTTTTCTGCATAGTATCTTGCAGTGCTTGCATACGGCTCTTAGCAGAGGGAAGCCCTCTGCTTTGAGCTTGTGCTATCTTACTAGGACATGTTGGTGCTGCTCTAGTGTAAGAATTAATTAATCCTATGTTAATTAATTAATCCAGACTTTAGAGAGCAGAGGCACACTTGGTCCTTACAATCATTGCCTTCCCTTGCTAGTAAGGAGGTAGGAATAGTCCTCGCTCCCTTTCTGTTTTAAGCTGAAAAGTGACTGTCACATGAAATTGTGTAGCCCTATTGTTACTTCCTCTCAGCAATGCCACATTTAATTTGCTGAGTTTTCAAGTCAAATGCCAAGACATTCTGGGATCTGAAAGGCAGGCTGATGCTTTGCAGCCTCTTCCATCACTGCCAGCGCTTCAGCTGGTGATTCATGAAGCAAGGTAGGATTTGTCTCTCTTGTGGCAGCTGCCATCATCTTTTGGAGTTAGCAGGGATAACAGCTTCTTTTGGCCAGGAATGACAACACTTATTTTTCAAATATGCAGGAAACAGGGGATGCCATGTTGGACAGCCCTGTTGCTGATTTTCACTGTTTTTCATTAAGCTTTGGAAATGCAGTGTTCTTTGTAACAGAAGTGCACATACGTATGTAATGAGGGCTGAAGGCTGGTGCCACTTACATTAGGGTTAAGCAAGAGTAACACTGCTGTGGCCGGCTGGAAACAGCCGTGCAGTCGAGCCGTGCAGTGGGTAGAGCCTTAGACTAGAAGTTTTGCGGGCAGCCTCTCAGACAGAAGACTTTGAACAGAGGGACCAAGGGCTGTGAGGGTTGTTCATCACTGGGCACTGCTCCTGGCCATGGCCTGAGCTTTCTGGACCACTTAGTGCCTTCCCTGTAGCACAGAGCTGGCTTTTCAGTAAAGCTCTGTGTGTGCAGCTTGCGAAGCGTGTAGGGATTTACAGCGGTTGAAAATGTGGAACACCATTCCATATCACTTTGATTCTTGTTTATAACCAAGGAAAAATAATCTTCTCCCCATAGTGTTTGAAGAATGGTCTCAATGAGTGGCTTCTTCTCACTACAGATTAATCTGGACAGTACCATGAAGGTTATTAGCAGGAGATCCATTTCGGTGGCTTACGGAGAGCCTGTCCACCCCATCATGCAGTTCGACCCTTCTGATTCCACGTACCTCTATCTGATGACCTCCTATCAGGTGAGACCTTTAGTCTTCAGCAAAATAGTCCTTTGAGCATCATGCATTTGATTTAGCGTTCAGCACTAAGCTGGGAGCAGGAAGGGACAATAAAATTTGCTTTAACATTAATGGGCAGAGCCAAGAAGTTCAGGGCTTTGGCTGGGGTGTCAAAGGACTTTCCAGGGGGAATACCTGTGCCTGTCCATTCTCCTGCACAGGGTGGGGGTCACACTGAGCAGACCGGCTTGTCAGGCTTTCTCGTCTTTGCAGTGGCAAGGTAAAAAGAAGAGTGAAAGATATCAAAACAGATCCCACTTATGGGAGTGCAGAAATAAGCAGAGGTTGTTCCTGTATAGAAACCCAAAAATTACGGTACACAGTCTTTAAGGAGGCTTTTAGGAGATCCTACAGACAAAAAGTCTGCCTGTCAGAAATGATCCTTGGGGGAGTTTTCTGCTCAGCCTAGCTGGCAGGAGGGCTGGATGGGAGGAGGGCTCTCTGTGGAGACCGGGAACACCACACCAGGTAGAAACAGACGGTCTCATCTCCGTCAAGTGAGCAGAGGAGGAAGACAAGAGCTGAGCGCTCCAGGCGCTGGTGGTTTGTCCTGAATTACATTTTAATCTGTCAAAACAGATGCACAACCACAAATATTATATGTTGCATTTATATTTTCCAAGCCCTAATTCCCTGCAGATTGGTCATTATCATTTCACAGAACCCTCCTGGGATGCCTCTTTAGCTGATGTTTCAGACTGTCTCATCTCAGCTCCCAGGCTGGGCTGTGCACCTTATTCGGGCTTGATCAAACACTCCATGCAGCACTTGTGATACTGTCCTCTGTCTGTTTCTTTTCCAATAAACCAGATGAGTTAATTTTTCTTTGGTGGAATTAGCATCCTGGGAAGCTCCCTGGGAGCTCGATGGGGTTGGGGGCGTGCTGAGCACCGCAGGGCTGGGGAGCAGGGAAGTGCTGCAGGTAAAGCAGGGGTCAGGCCAAAGAGCCCACGGTCCGAGGTGCACTCACCTGGTGAGAGCTCAGGACTCTCAGCACCTCACGTTGTCAGTCCCCGCTGTACCAAACGATTCAGTTTTCCTTCCCAAATGTTTAGAAATTGAGGGAGGAAAAAGCAGAAACTGACACATGCTTTCCCTCCAACTGCTCCTGCTGAGCAAGTCCCCAGAGGTACTTTGATTTCTTTACAAATTAAGGTTTCCAGAGTGGTTTTGCTTTCTGGTCATTTTGTAAATAGCCAGATAGCATTCAGCTCTGTCTAGAAACGCGCTTTCTGCAGGTCTGAGTGAGAGCTTTTCACAGGGAGGGACAAGCTGTGAAACCGTCTCTGTTGGATGCATCAGAAAGGTGTGGTGTCGCTCTCCGTAGCCTGACTGTCACACATCTATTGCCAAGGTGCCAGCTGAAAAGGAGCAGCTCAGCTCAGCTGTGCACCCTGTGGGGTGACTATGCTGGCGGTGGCAGCAGGCCCCATCCCTTGGGTGTCCTTACCTGCCCTGGGGCACACGGCCCCCAGGCTGGGACAGGCTCTGCTGGGGGCACTGGCAAGGCAGTGGGCAGCTGCCTGTGCTGGTCCCCATGCGGGCTGGTCGTACACAGAGCACCCACCTCTGAGTGGTGTGGGGCAGAGGACGGCGGTGCCAGGGTCTGCTCCTTGTCTGTTCTGTAAGGCTTGGTCCAGGCTAACGGTAAAGTAGCCTGAGATGCTGGTGTCTCGTTGCTAGCTACGCACGGCCATACCGGCACATCCCAGTCAGGTAGAGTGTTTCTGTGGTGTTGTAAACGATTTGGAAGCAGTTGTGCTGTTGTTGTGCAGATGACGCGGGTGAAGGTGGCTGCCTGTAACCAGTACTCGACGTGCACGGAGTGCCTGGCCGCCGCTGATGCTTACTGCGGGTGGTGCACGATGGAGACCAGGTAGGACTGGTCCTAGTACACTTTGGCATGTCCTTTGTCCCTCGAGCCAGGCCAAGAATTTCTGATGCCTTTTATATTTCCACACAGTCACACTACCATTAGTCTTTGTCCATTCCTTACGAAATACGTGCTTTTAAAAACAGTTGCATCTGGCCTCAAATGGTTCCGATGCTCTTCAGAGACAGGATTTAACTGTAGCTGCATTGTTATGCTGCAGTCAGCTGCCAGTGCAAAGAATATCTTGCAGGCATCCAACCATGGGATTGAGAGAGCCAACACCCTGTTAAAGACCGTCTTTTACCCTTGCAATTATTTATGTGTGGGAGACAACACTCAAAAAGGGATTTACAAAATTGGACTCCGTGTTTACAAATTGAAATCGGACAAAATGTCACCTTCTCCTCTTTGGTTCTGGGTTCAGCCTACCTGCTCTCGCTTATCCTGAACCCTGATGCTCTGTTGATGCTGGTGGGAATATGCACTCTTATCGTGGCAACCAGACACTTTAAATATAGCAGCAAAGCTTTAGGCTTAGCTGCATGGATGGAGGAAAAAGGTGTAGGCACAGGATTTTCTCAGGATCTTCCCTCACAAGGAAGTCAACATTTTTATCACCTGTTTTAAAAATAATCAACCATGAATTGTTCCCCTGTTCGTTGCAGGTGTTCTCTGCAGCACGAGTGCACGAACTTCACAGGGGCCAACTTCTGGGCGAGTACAAGTGAAGGAGTGCAGCAGTGCCCTTCCATGACCATCTTGGAGCCCGAGATTAATATCGACAAAGAGAACCCGGTATGTTTGATGTGAATACCAAATTAATTATGTGCAGCATCCCATAGAGTCGTTACCTGCTCTCAGGGCTGATAAACATCCATGCTCCTCTAGCATAGCAGCACAGCTCCACACGGCTCAGATATGGGTCGTGGGGATGCTGAGCTCTGTTGTATGCTACCGAGTCAGGCCAAGGTTCTCAAAAGCGCCTGGAGGTGACCTGCTGCGCCTCGACACCCTAGAAGGCAGCAGGACGTCAGCTTCTGAGCCTGTAGGTGAACAGGACTTCTAAAGCTGCTAAACTAAACACACTGGAGAGATCTGTAAAATTTCAAAATACAGAAGACCAGCTGCAGACAGCTAAATCAGCTCATTTTCTGGTTTTCTATTGTTGCTATTTTTAACAGTATTTTAATGATATTTTAAATGTTTTCATCAAAATATTTTTTGTTTAAAGACAGACCCTCTCCCAATGGCAAAAATCTCTCTGTGCCAAAGTTCTTGGCCAGCCCTAACATGGGGAAATTGCTCGTAAACAGGCAGCGGCTGGGGCAGAGCCCAGACCAGAGCTGGAGAGAGGGATCCCATGGGACCCTAGCACAGGTCCAGCTCCACTTCTGCTGCGCAGGAGCAGTGGGCTGGGGGTCCCTAGGGAGTCACCCCGCTGACAGCGGGGGAAGCCAGCCGAGCACGTGGGCTGCATGTTTTCCTGAGTCGCCCTCTTCAAAAGCATTCCCTTTCTGCAAAACTTCCCATCCCTTCCCCTCAGAGACTGAGGGCAAAAAGAAACTCCTGCAGCTAGCCCGCTCGGCCCTGGTGTGCCAGGGAAGGACGCTGGCTTGTGGCTGGCCCCCAGCAGCCCTCCCAGCAGGCTCCCACGAGACACCTCTCGTCACCAGACCTGGTACGGACTGGTGCAAGCCGGGAGGTTCAGGCACTCAGAAGCAGGGGTTAATATTTTCTGCTCATGCAGGCGGCGTGGGTCAAGGACAGCCTGGGCAGCTGGGGAGGGCTTAGCCTTTGCATCCTGCTTCCTCCGAGTGGTCTCCCAAGAAAGCCCTGGGCTGGGTTTTCATGCCAGCTGGTAACGCACCCGCTACAGTTGTTGGAGTTTGTGGTGACAGAGCTCTTACTGCTGAAGCAAGGTTTTGTATGCGGATGGCTTTTAGAGTTCAAAGTGCATAAAATGAAAGAAAATGGCTATCTGTGGACTTGTTTTGGAGTCGCTAGCTTATGAAAAGCTTGTAAAACATTGACAAATTCTAAATATAATTTTCTGTCATAATAACTGATTTTTTTTTTGTCCAAATGTAGGCCCTGATAATACAAATAAATGGGACTATCCCGAACCTGAATGGAACAAATATTTCATGTGACTATGGAAATAATATCCACACAGTAGCCAGAGTTGCAGGAGATTATGTAAACCAATTTATTTATTGCAGTTTACTTCCACGCGAGAAATACCCAACGTTTCCAGACGACCAAGGTATGTAAAGGAAAACAAGCTCGGTTCACTCTAACCACTTTTGTGGACATAATTTTTCATAGGCTTTTTTTCTTTTTCCAATTGTATGTGCAGATAATGCATACAGGGAAAAGAAAACCCAAGCTGCTTCTGTTTTATAGGGCATATGACTTTAAGTTTACTTCCACGCGAGAAATACCCAACGTTTCCAGACGACCAAGGTATGTAAAGGAAAACAAGCTCGGTTCACTCTAACCACTTTTGTGGACATAATTTTTCATAGGCTTTTTTTCTTTTTCCAATTGTATGTGCAGATAATGCATACAGGGAAAAGAAAACCCAAGCTGCTTCTGTTTTATAGGGCATATGACTTTAAAGCGTGGGAGTTCCACCATCTTAACATGAATTGACAGTATTTCAAATCTATCAATTTTTGTTTTAACCATCAGAATTTGAAAGCCAGTTCACATACTTATTTTATTAAGATTTATCTGGTTAGAGCTTCTGCTTTAGATTTAGTAAGTACTAAAACAAAAATGTTTTAGCCCCGGGGAAATAATAATAATGCTACTTATATTGATATTTTCAATTGCTTTTGTTTAATTTTCCTCCTGAACATGCACTACCTTTCAGGAGAAGTTCTGGAAGAAGAGCAAGTGCATACCTAAAGGCAGCTCAGAAACTCTTAATCCCATTTATGCAGTTAAAAGCCAGACTGCGGTCTTCTAGTATCCGCCTGTTTTCAGATGGTGCCAAATGGGATGCCCATCTTGCAGCTCCATGGAGCTGCATTCTGGAGGTGACAAGCACCTGCAGATCTGCTTGAAGTCAACGGAGCCTTGATGGCCGAGCTGACCAGATCTGATACTGGCCACTTAGCGATGGAGACAGCCCCATTTTATAGCTGCTTCTGAGAAGTTCGATGCTTCATTCCAGACTTGAGTGCTTGTTAAATCTTCATCTTCCAAGCCTGGAGTGAATGCTCTATTGAAGATGGCTGACTTCAGTAGGAGAAGAATTAGCCAGTCCTTTTGAAAATCCCACTTCTCATAGGCAAGTTTATAAAGCTGCGTTGTTTTTCTCCCTAGCTATCCAAAGAATGGGAGATCATTAACTGTTCTGTATTGTTGGTTACGGCAATGTCCAAATGAATTTCTGGAATCCGATGCGCTGATTTATTGTACATATTCTAAAAGAGGCATTGTCTCTTGTCCCTGGAGCTTATATGGCAAAATTGCAAAGGAAAAAAAAAAAAAGAAGCAATTCTGGGGGAAGGGGGAGTTAGCATAGCATGTTAAGTAGCCAAAAAAGGGATTTCCACTCTTCTCTGCGGGTTTGTTGTCATGGGGAAAGTGAGCGGGATTTTAAAACATAATAACTAACATGTTTTAATTACCACATTTTTTTTTAAATATCATTTAACACCAACTGTAAGCGAGGACAATAATTAACTCTGGTAATTAACACTTGCACAACACGCTGGAATTTTCTGCTGAAAGTCGCAATGTTCTTTTCTGGCGAGGGTGATGTAAAGCGTTGATTTAAGAGGGAAGAGCTGAAAGTCAGAGGGCAAAAGATGAATGGTCCAAGCTCTGAAATGCAGCTTGGAGGAAGCCCTAGAGAAAACAAATCAGATTTAGCCCTTGTTTTCCCAAGGGTCTGTCTTGTCTTCTAAGCGTGAGCGCGAGCAAGAGGCTCTTGCAACCCAATATTCTTTGGCTTGATTCTCTCAGACCACGTGGTCGTTGAAACTGCTCTCCGGGTCAACAGCAAAAACATTATCCGGGCCAATTTCACCATCTACGATTGCAAAAGAACTGGAAACATTTACCCGAAGAGAGCGTAAGTGACCCCGGTGTGCAGGCAGCCAGGCCACCGCAGGCAGGCGGTGGCAGGGTGTGGGTGGTGCTGTGCTGGCTGCGTGGCACCGGGGCAATGGAGGTAGATGGAGTGTTTTGAAGCCGGGAGGGTGCACACACGCAGCCGGACGTGTGTCTCCCT